AATTTTAGTTTAATTTAATTTTGGTTAATTAAAAGTATTACAATTTAATCATAGTTTAATGTAAGATTAAAAGAGATTTGCCATACATAAATTGAATAGGAATGAATATAAAGAATGAATGAGTGATTTGATATGCAAGTTTACAAAATGAATTTAGGAGCAGATTAAGTTGATACTTAGCAATTAGATGATAGGATGGGCAAATGATAATATGTCGTCAGCGTTCCCACGATCTTGGATACTCGGATGTTATGATGTTGGAAACTGGGTGTTCGATATACGAACGGTTGGATTGGTAATTCGATGCTCCCACGTTGATATTTGATGGTATGCTTGATCGATGTCGCCTGAAGTCTGGTAGATGTTGAAAAGAAGGAACGTTGGAAATGCGCGTAGCGCATTTATACCCCGCATTGGAAGTTCGAAAGTAAAATTCCAAGTAGGGATGCTTTTCTTGAGCATTTACACAGGGATGCGTTGAAGAATAAAGCTGAGCAGGGATGCTTTCTTTAAGTAGGCGAAAGTCACTTAAACATGCCGGCCCCGTTGCACTTGTGCAAGGCTGTCCTTCTGCTTCGGCAAAGCTCTTTGAACTTGTCTCTGTGCCCCGACGCCTGGTTTGGTTTCGATAGATAGTAGGTGAGAACGCACCGCCGCCGATCTTTTTCTTGGCCTTAAGCAATGGTTTCGATGCAAACGCTTGAAGATCGTGATGAAGGTGGTATGAGCATCTGGCATAGTCCTGGATATCTATTTTAGATGTAATCGTCGAGAAACGTCTTAGTGCTTCATACCGATAAATCTCAAAATAACGCTGAATTGTTGAATAGCTTCGTAGCGAGGGTGGTCTGCAAATATATTTCGTTATGAACAATTCTTTGAGAATTTTAATAAGCAATAGTTTTAAAAGTTCTGGTGACTTAACACCGATAGACACTGTAAATTCACTGCTGGTGTATATAAATATTGAGAAGTTTAGCTGATGTGTAAATTTGTTTTGTGAGCGATGCGCTTGTTTGAAGAGGGTATATATGGCTGGGATATGCCTTTTTTGCGAAAGTATTGTAGGTAGGGTAACGATGTTACTGTGACTTTCCTTTGGAATAAGTTTCACAGATTCGTAGATATTTTTCGAAGTGGACTGTAGTTGAGAAGATTTTGTTCAATAGGAAATATCACGCAAGGTTTTTGAACACCGTGAAGAGTGCGATAGAATACAATTTTCCTCTTTCAAAATATGAAGAGCTTGGACTTTGCGTTTTTTTGAAAGAGGCGAAAAACCGCTTAGAAGCGAATTGTCAGGTTTCCAAAGCCACCTACGAAAACGATTTCGCTTATTAGAACCGAACATCCATTTTAAATTGTTGCCGTCTTTGTAAGAAGTTAGTGGTATTGCTGGATGATTTGGTTCAAAGCTTGGAGAGTTTACTGTTTTTAATTTCTGATTTGTAGGAAGTGTAAGCCATTTAGGGATTATGCATTTTTTTTAGCAATATTTGGCTCCAACTTTGATGCTTGAGTGGCTTTGGCAATGTTTGCTGATTTTTCTTAATAACGGGCGATACCGGTCCCGGGGGGCTCAAAAGTGGCGAAATTGAAGATCCAAATTGCCACTTTTTCGCATTTGGTTTGAGGTTGAAGTTAGAGTTGGTTGAAGGAGAGGGAGATTCTTCGCTTTGGATTTCTTCAATAATACCGAAAGTTTTACAATTTTGTTGAATTGTTGGAGTTCTGGAAGATTGAGAGTGCAATAAGTTAGTTGCATTTTGAACACGTTGAGTGGGTTGATTACTAACTAGTGCCGTGGGTGTCGGTTTGTTAGTCGATTTAGGATGTAACATTGTGTGATGGGATTCGGTACAATAAAAGCATTGGCGCCCCCTTTGGCAATGGATACATACGTGATTGCGTGCCAACAATTAGTACAATAACCGTTTTGTTCAGCAAACTTGGTGCGTTCTGGAACATTGAGTTTTCGAAATTTAGGGCATAATTTTAAAGAGTGTTGGTTTTCGCATAATTTACATCCGATTGAAAGCTTTTCTTGGGAATAAGATCGATTTGAAATTGTAATTTTCTGCGTAAAATTATTGACTGTTGCGTTACTAATGTAGCTTGCGGTGCATTGTAACAGCTTAAGCTGGTGGAGAAGTTTAGATTTGCAAATCTCGAAGCTATTGGTACACAACTGGAATTGGGTGTGGACTTCTTTTTTGATTTTCGATGAAGTAAAATTTTTTTCATCAGTATGTGGTTTTTCATACGAGGTTCTTAAAATTTCCCAACGGGATTGGAGGTCTTGTAACTTTACTTCAAGTAAAGTACATGTATGATCCTTCAGATTAGCTTTTTCGAGGTAGGAGCAGAAGTTTATAAGGTATTTTGCCTCGAATACGAACTTCGAAATTAATGAGATATCAATGGACATGATTGAATCCATTTAGAGTAATGATTTAAATGCTAAACTTGTGACTTATCTCCAGAAAATAAATTGAAAATATTGATGCCTTCGTAAGCAACGCAAATCGAAAAAAAAGTTTACCGGCAAAATTATTCCTAGAGTATCACTGCACATTTATCGCTCGCAAGTGTAGTTTGATGAAAGGAATAACATGAGTTTCATGCGAGTGTACATGTTTACATATGTAACACCTATTTTATATAAATCCGCACAAAATTAATTGAGGATCATTGTTTTCTATCGTTTGCTGATAGATGAAACTATGTACATATGCACACTTTGCATTATATGTACATACAGGGGTGTGCCCATACAATTTCTTACTGGGTATTCAAAGGTAAAAACGTATGGACCTGACATCAATCTTAGAACGAGAACTTGTATGTAAACACAATAATTCATAAATAAGTTTAAATTTTCAGTGGGGCTACTATTCCTAGAGGGAGTGTACTTTCTGAATTACATATGTATAAACATACATATCATATTTTAAATTTGGTATATTATTTGATTTGCTGCGCCGACGCAAGCAGCATAGGAAA